TATTTATTATGGCCCACCCAAATTAAATAAATCATGAGATGAGGGAGGAGGGGTGTTGAAAAACCTGGTTCCGGTTAAAACTCCCAGAAATCACAGGTGGATTTTGTAAAAAAGATCCCACCAGAAAAATCTTTATTAAAGGACTTTGATTCATGTCCTTCTCCTATTCAAAAACTTTTAACAGCTCCTCAATGCCTAGTAAGTCCAAACCTATCCTTCCCTCAGTTTCCCCCATCTCTATGCTCTTTAGTTTTCTCATCTGTAAAATAGGGGAAATAGTAATATTCTATCATGGTATTATTATAAGGACAAAGGGAATTGATATATGTAAAGCACTTAGAACTACAACTGCACATAGTATGACTATGCAGCATTTGCTACAGTTGTGATTATCTCAATAAATTACACTAAATTGATCAAGCCAGAAACCTGCAGAGTCATTCTTGATTTCTCTCTCCCTTAATGGTCACATCCAAACCATCTCCAAGTTGTCAATCTACCTTCAAAATAAACCTTTAATTCATCCAATCCCCTCTATTTCACCTCATTAATCTAAGCCACTACCTAGTGCCTGGGCTACCAGAAACCTCAACTTTCCTCCCAACCATTATCCATACAGCAGCCAAGTTATTTAACTTATTCTCAAGTGTGTAACAAACATTTTTAAGAAGTGCACACATAATAAATGTAAACTTTGGAAGAATTTTCACAAAGTAAACATAACCACACAAACATTACAGGATCATCTTAAAAATACAAACCTCATCATGATTCTGGTGTATAAATCCTTCAAGGAATTCCCATTGCACTTGAACTAAAATCTAGTCTCCTTTCCATGGCCAGAGTCCTTGCACAGTTTGACCCCTACCTCCCTTAACATTTTATGCCTTTCAGTTACTCTGCATTTCCTCTTTTGCTATCGCAGCCCTCACATATGCCGCATTCTTTCCCATCCTAGGGTCTTCACAAATACCACCCCTCCTGACTCATAATCAACAACCCATCCCAATGGTTGGCTCATAATTTGGTCTAATTGTAATCTTCTCCAAAAAGCACTCTGTTTCCCCAATCTAAAAGGTTCTACCCTCCTAGCCCACACTGCCACACCATCCCAGCACTTATTCCATTTATAAATTGTGTGTTTATTTACTTATTATCTCCCTTTTCAACCAGAGTATAAATTCCATATCTGTTTTTACTATTTCATACGCAGCACCTAGCGTAATGCCTGGCACATTACTCGGTATTTATTAAACGAATGAATGTCCACAGGCAAAGAACTAAAAGTAGCATTTAAGACCTTCCATAATCCACTTAAGTGTATGTTCAACATACTCTGTTATTCCTTTCTGTAGCTCTACAGTTAAACTAAACAATTTGTTCCACCTACATACTCCCTACTGCTCCCTTAGCCTGGAAAGCCCTACCACTACCATTACTTGCCCCAAATGTACTCATTTTTTGAGATCCACCTAATTCACAGAATTTCCTCAGTGGTATCTGTTATGGTACAAGGTACAGAAGGTACCAGGTTACATCACTGTATTAGAAAGCAACTGGCAAAGAGAAGCCGAAATAAAATATAAGGATAGAAACGTTTTTCGCTTTGGTTACATAGGCCAACATAGCTATTTAAGTTAGTTTGTAGTGCCTTATTTCTCCCAGCTGATAGTTATCTCTTCCTCTAAACTCACATCATACTAACCTATCTGATGGCTCTTAATACTGTTTAATATATACATATATATAAAATACCTCTTAATATATGTATAAATATATAAAATAATAATATATATTTTATTATATAATAAAAATCTATATATAAAAATATATACCTCTTAATACTTAAGTATACTTTATATGTATCTTATCTTTTAAAACATAAACCTGAGAGTGGGATCTATGCTGAGGTGGTTATTATTTGTTGGCTGTAATAATTGGCATTAACTGGGGGCACCTGGGTGGCTGTCAGTTAAGCGTTCAACTCTTGATTTTAGCTCAGGTGATGATCTCGGGGTGGTAAGATGCAGCCCCGCATGGGGCTCTGTGCTCAGTGAGAAGTTGGCTTGAGATTCTCTTTCCCTCTCCCCTCCCCCCAGCTCGCACACTCTCTAAAATAAATGAAATCTTAAAAAAAAAAAAAAATTGGCATTAGTTATTTTTTTACTGCTTCTCTTTTTTCTCTTGCAATAATTTCAATTTACTTTTGGGGCATCCTCAAAAGACTATTAATCAAGATGCCTTGCCTTTTTTTTCCCCCTAAGATTTGTTTAGAGAGAGTGAGCAAGTGTGTGGCGCAGGTGGGGGGGCGTGGCGGGGTGGGGAGGCAGAGAATCCTAAGCAGACTCTACAATGAGCAAGGAACTGGGTACCAACCAATCTTAAAACCCTGAGATCATGACCTGAGCTGAAACCAAGAGTCAGACACCTAACTGGCTGAGCCAGCAAGAACCTCAGTCTTGCCTTCTTCTAAGAGTGAAAGAGTGGAGAAGAAATCTGAACCAAGGCAGGGCAATAGCCATTTGAATCATAATTACAGTGACAGAAAGTTGTTGAAGCTCATTCATGCAACAACACTGCTTGGGTGAGACTACTAATTCTTTTTTTTTTTTTTAAGATTTTATTTATTTATTTGGTAGAGATTACAAGTAGTCAGAGAGGCAGGCAGAGAGAGAGAAAGAGAGGAGGAAGCAGGCTCCCCGCTGAGCAGAGGGCCTGATGTCGGGCTCAATCCCAGGACCCAGAGATCATGACCTGAGCCGAAGGCAGAGGCCTCAACCCACTGAGCCACCCAGGCACCCCGAGACTACTAATTCTTGCTGGAGACATCCAATACAACTGTAGTTCCTGTCCTTTTTAGAGATGGCTTTCCTCATTTTGTTAACTACTCCATACACTTCCAAACATTTTAAAAATATTAGCTTGTTTCTTCTGCTTGTAAACAAAGAACCCTAATTGATAGAAACGTTTAATTTCCCACTTGTAGTTGATGCTAAGTCTCAACTTCATTCTTTTGTAGTTCAATTAAGTCTGCATATAATAGCTACTATTTGTAACCATGAAACTAATAATACATTATATGTTAATTTAAAAAATCCTCACAACCCTAAGATACATTATGGGTGCATTGTAATTTCCACTTTATAGATGAGATTGAGACCCAGAGAGGTTATGTCAATGCCAGAGGTATAAGCCACAGTAAGTGGGGGCTGAACCAGAATCGAACTTATGTACTGAAATCTGAAGCCTGGCCTCATATTGTACAACTCTGCGTTGCCTGAATCTTCCTCTTCTTCTTCAGCAGGGTCAGTATGCCAATGCTTGAGGTCTCCAGTGATGGGAGAACTTAGTCTGGTGTTAGCCCCGCCTCTCCTTTCCTAACTTGGTTGTGCCACTCCCAGCCCCTCTGCCACACTGACCTGTGTGAAGTTCTTTGAAGTAGAACTTCACTGTGTCCTTTCCCTATCTGTCCCTCTTTATGGTGCTGCTTTCTCTGTCTGAAATGTCCAGCCACTTTGTCTGGCTGGAAAATGCACTTCAAAATCTGGTGTAGTCCATGGACTCTAAAACATCACTGATTTTTAAGATGCACCTTTATTTTATGTTCACCTGAGAAAGAAAAATTCTGCCAGCTAAACTTTGACATAATGCCTTATCACTTGGAACTTTTATTGTTATTGAAAGAAGCTCATTAGACAACGTTTATCGTTTACTACTCGTGTCCCTAGAAAAACATAACAGAAATAAATTGGGTAAGTTAGTCCTGAAAAAAAAAAAAAAAAAGGCCAACCAAACAACAACAGAAAGCTATTGTTAGAGCACCTAATACTTGTCAGGTGCTTTATACAGACACAGTATCTCTAGTCCTTGAATTTCTGTAAGGTAAAAGTCTTCCATCAACGTGATTGTTGCTAGCAGGTTATTTGGTAGAGTAAAAAACACGTTTAGAATTGTAAGATTAACTTGCAAGACTTTACTGAAACAATTAAACCCAAACCTTCTTTTTGAGGGTTCTCATTATGCAAACCAATGGTCTTTACGCCGTAAGTTAGGCCGTGAATACCTTCTATTCCTAACCACTTAGCATAGAAGTGGGGAGGGGCTGGAGAGAAAGAGGAATGGTTGAACTTTAACTCACTGAAATTCAATAAACCCGTATACGCAACTCAAACGAGGCAAAGCTGCACACGATGTAAAAACATTTTGCAAACCCTAAGGTAAATTACGTTAATTCTGCAATACAAACAGTGAAAAGTACCATCTGCCAAGCGTCCCCAGTCCATTCTAGCTAGAACACACCAGGATCCCCCCGTGACACATCCAAACGTGTACGGCAGCAGGAACCATTTTCATCGAGTGTGCAAGTGCCTAGTTACGCTTGAACACAACTACACCTAGGAGACTGTTAATCTACCAGCTGGAATGGAAAATAATAGTTCCCAGTACCAACGGACTGCAGGAACCTTTTTCATTCTATCATCTTTTTCATAACTGGCAACAAAGCTAAAGCCTTCTATCCCCAGCTGCGTCGCTCCAAATCCTTCCCGGAAGGGGGCAGAATATAAATTAACTACCGCCCCCGCCGCGCGCACAGAGACCTTCTGTACGTCCATATTCCCTTTTGTTCCCCCACCCCCTAACTAACTCGCCCTAGGGAACACAGGCCTCAGAAGCAGGCCCGAACTCTTGGCTCCCGGCGCCAGGTGTCCCCGCAGCGCCCCGAACATCTTGCCGAAAAGACCTCTGCAGAGGGAGATTCAGAGCTGTGGCTTCCCACTGAGAATGCGAAACAAAATCAGCTTAAAAAAAAAATAAAAATAAATAACACAAACTGACAGAGAATTCACTCTTAGCCCCCAAGTGAATTCTTTTAATTTCAGCACGAGCGGAAGCGGAAGTCGTGGAGGGATCATAGAGTTTGCTACTTCCGGTTCCCGGGCTACGTTCCGGGCTAGAGCGCCTCTCCACTGTCAGCCATCCCGATCGCCGGCCCCTTCTATTTCCGGGTGCGGCTTCTGTCAGAGCTGAGGCCTGTCTTCAAACGTGGCGTCTTGGGTCCTTAGGGCCTCGCCGGCGGTCCGCTCACAAGGGCCGGCGCGGGCACTTTGCGGCCAACAACTGGAGCCAGCCCTCGCGTACCGGGTCCGCACTGGCACCTCTAACTTTTCAGAGCTGGCTGGCTTTTAAGCCCTCGCGATTGAGAGCCCTTGATTCGCAGCCTCCAGGACTGCAGCTCTAGAAGAGAGCACCCCTTCGGCTATACCTGTATACCATAGGCGTGCTTTGCCCTGTGAGGTGCAGCATTTGACAAGTCACCCCTACCCCCACGTTACCACTTCCACCTCAATTTCTGCCACGTCTGCCTTAATTTCGTTCTTAACCTCCTTGATTTGAGACCCCTCCCCCTCTCTGCCTCCAGAAGAGGTCTTCCTCCTACCCCCAGTTCTGTAAAAGAGGAGTTTTGGGTCTCTTGCAGAAAGATTACCTTTAAGACTGAGCATCCGTTTGATAACTAAAACAAGTTCATGCTTGCTAAAGAGTTTGTGGGCAAGGCGAAACCCAGTGCACATAAGAAACTATGGCTGAGCACGGGGCTCACATCACAACTGCTTCTGTGGTGGATGACCAGCCATCCATCTTTGAGGTGGTAGCACAGGACAGTTTAATGACAGCAGTGAGACCTGCTCTTCAGCATGTGGTCAAGGTAAGATATTGATTCTCTGAAAGGTTTAGGGACGACTGGGTGAAAACCGAACAGTTTACTTGGTTGTCTAGGTTTTGAAATTGCCAATTAGCATGTAATTCATATCCTGTGGTTTAATGGTTCTTGAGTCCCTGTTATGTGTAGAGCCCTGTACTGAATACCTAGCACTTCAGAGAGGATAGGGCAGATCCCAAAAGAAGTGACTTGTTTCAGCCCAAAGTATCAGAATTTAGAGGAAAAAAAGGAAATGTGAATACAACACATAGTGATTGTGAAATGGAATGAAATTCGTTTATCAATTTACTTTTAGGTTCTCGCAGAATCAAATCCTGCCCACTATGGCTTCTTTTGGAGGTGGTTTGATGAAATCTTCGCCCTGCTAGATCTTCTGCTCCAGCAGCATTATCTGTCTAAAACCAGTGCCTCATTTTCTGAAAATTTTTATGGATTAAAGCGCATTGTAATGGGGGACACACACAAGCCTGAGAGACTGGCCAGTGCTGGTCTCCCAAAGCGGCAGCTGTGGAAGTCAATTATGTTCCTGGTTCTTCTTCCCTACCTGAAAGTGAAGCTGGAGAAGCTTGTTTCTAGCCTGAGGGAAGAGGATGAATATTCTATCCATCCCCCTTCTTCCCGCTGGAAACAGTTTTATAGAGCCTTCCTGGCAGCCTACCCATTTGTTAACATGGCATGGGAAGGCTGGTTTTTTGTACAACAACTTCGGTACATCTTGGGAAAGGCTCAGCATCACTCACCGTTGCTGAGGCTGGCTGGAGTTCGGCTCGGTCGACTTACAGTTCAAGATATACGAGCTCTGGAGCACAAAGCAGCTGAAGCCAGCCTAATGCAGCAACCAGCCAGGAGGTAAGGCTTTAACATTTCCCCAAACCTTTCACGAAGAGGTTCTAAAATCTTAACCTAATTTTATGAAACTCACCTTCCTCAGTCCACTTAGAGGTATTTCGTAAATCAGAGAAAAATTCTTGTGTCCATACAAGAGTTGCCCTCCTGATAACCTTCCTTAGCACACTAGCTACATTTTTATGTATGCTTGCTGTGTGCCAGGCCCTGTGCTAGCTGTTCCCTTCACGTACATTATCTCAATCCTCCTGACAACTTAATGAAATAAATTCATTACCTCTTTTAAGACCTAAGGAAACTAAGACCTAATAGCCAAGTACCTTGCCAAGGCCACATAGCTAGAAGGTGGCAGAACTGAGATTCAAGCCGGATCAACAGTTCTCAAGACTGTGCCCTTAACCACAGTGCCACTGTTTCTAGTTAGTATTTATGTTCTCCTACAACTTCAAATATACAGTCCTCGATATTGCTAAGTTATTTTTGTTAAGTGAGTTCTTTTTCTTGATATGCTATCTTATACACACACACACACACACACATCTATACAACCAATGTCTTACCAATTTCTCAAAACAAAAAAACAAAACCCTAGTCATTAAATACAAAGTTTAGTTCCTATACTTCCCAAACACTGGAGGTCAGAAACAGGAAATAATTTCAAATGGATACTAGAGGAGACGGTGCCAATCTAGCAACTTCTCAAAATCCAAACTGAATCAGTGATTCTGATGAAGAGTATAAGAGGTATATTTATATTAGTCATTCTGTGATCAAACCTAAGTAAACAGTTTCTCCTTTTGCCTCTTTGTTCTATTCTTCTACCAGTGTTGGTGAGAAGATAAAGTCAGCTCTGAAGAAAGCCTTGGGAGGTGCGGCCTTATCCCTCTCTACTGGCCTTTCTGTGGGAGTATTCTTTCTGCAGTTCCTTGAGTGGTGGTACTCATCTGAAAATCAAGAAACTATCAAATCACTGACTGCCCTGCCTACTCCACCACCACCTGTACACCTAGACTACAATTCTGATTCTCCTCTGTTACCCAAAATGAAGACTGTGTGCCCCCTGTGTCGCAAAACCCGGGTAAATGATACTGTTCTTGCCACCTCTGGCTATGTGTTTTGTTATCGCTGTGTATTTAATTATGTGAGGAGTCACCAAGCTTGTCCCATAACAGGTTATCCAACAGAAGTACAACATCTAATTAAACTGTATTCCCCTGAAAACTGAAAGGGATTAGCATTTTATTTCACAACAAAATTATTGCACCATAAGGCTGAGAAACTGATTTTCAGTTTCAGTACATAGCACTGTTTGAATTGTATGAAAACTGAGTTGTATGAAAACTGATTTTCAGTTTCAGTACACAGCACTGATTCTTCTCATCCTTAATTCATAATTACATGAACTTTTCACAACTAGAGTTGACCCCTGAATGACATGTGTGTTAATGGTGCTAATACAACCCCCCCCCAAGTAGAAAATTCATGTATAACTTTGACTCCCCCAAAATGTAACTACTAATAGCCTACTATTGACCGGAAGCCTTACTGCTAATAGAAACAATTAACACATTCTGTATATTAGATGTATTACATATTGTATACTTGCAGTAAAGTAAGATAAAGAAAATATTTAAATCATAACAAATACATTTATACTGTAAAAAATCCACATTTAAGTGGACCCACATGATTCAAATCTGTGTTCAAAGGTCAATTTATGGGTTTCTTTAAAAGGATATATCCATTGATCTAACCTTTTAACCAGCTCTCTAGACTCCTACTTAGAGTTTAGCAAGCTGGCTAGAATAATAGAATCAGGATTGACAGGGGACATGAAGGTCAGTGTAGAGGAAGTGGATGAAAGAGGATAGTACAGAAGCTTTTCCTTAAAGAACAAGAGGTATAAAATCTCAGGAGAAACCCAAGATAGACCTCATAAAGTGGGTGATAGGGAAGCAGGCCTTTTCTTGAGAAAGGAAAGCGTTTATCCGCCCTGAGAAAAAGATTTTATCAGTTTGCAAACAATGCGAAATGTTGACCTGCTCTTCACAGAAATACTTGGAGACACTTGAGAAAAACAAAGCACCTTCCATATACTGTGACCCACTTTAAGTAGCATATGCTACAGTGTAATCAAGTAAGATTCCTTTATGAGCCATACAGATCTTTTCTTGGGGAACTAGTTAAAGAAAAATAGGGGTTGAGCATATACACAGAGCTGTCTAAAGATTTCAGTGTGATGAAAGCAAAATGAATAAGCAATCAAGAGATGACGATTTAACTATGATTGTGCAAAAGAACCTTTTAATAAGCTCTTTCTTCTTGCTGTTAAGAGTTTGCTAAATGGGCATGAGTTACTCTGGCTATTACTAAGTTTCTATGAAACGCTTAAGTAAATTTTAAAAATAAATGTTTTTGGCAAAGAGTCGTTCCAAGTAGTCATAATTATTTGGAAACTTAAAGCTCACTTGAGATGGGGACGCCTGGGTGGCTCAGTCGCTTAAGTGGCCTCCAACTCTTGGTTTTGGTTCAGATCATGATCTCAGGATAGTGAGATCAAGCCACACAGTGGGCCCTGCAGCTCAGCATGGAGTCAGTTTGGGATTCTCTCTCCCTCTCCCTTTGCCCCCTCCCCGGCTTACCTTACATGTGTGCCTGCACACGCGTTCTCCCTCTCTCACTCTTGCTCTCAAATAAACATTAAAATTACTCAAGGTATTTAAAGTACATTTTTCATTCAGACCACCTGTGACTTTGGAAGTATTTTTGTACTGACATTTTGCTTTTTTTTGCTAATCCAATACTTGGGAGAAAAAACCTCTACTACAACAGCAAGAATTCAGCTTTGTGTGAAATACCCTGTATTAGAGATACCATAGAAACACTTGAGTTATGTAGTAAAATTCATGCCACTGGATTTTCGAGTTGGTGAAAATATACAGGTAGAGGAAGGATGAAAATAATTTAAGCATCTCTGCTGAGGTAAGTGTTTTCTAATATTTTAATTCATTTAGCAATTCAAAGCACATTTTCTGATAGCATGAAGTTGATCAAACTAAATTTTGAAATGGAATAACTTATGGATTTGAAAATATTAACATTTTTCTGTATCATAAGAAGAATGTAATGGATATTTGTTAAAGTTCTTGTTAAATTGCAAGGTTTTACCAAAACAAACACCATAGCTAATTAAACAAACATTTTTAATACAGTGATAAATCAATAAGAAAACTGAACCAGATTCAGGATTGAAAATAATGTAGTCCTCCACGAAGATATCAAAGCCAGATTCTTCACCTCAACCTAAGAAGGAAAAGATGAAATTGTCAGCAATCCAAAAGAGTATCCAAGAAACACTCTTATACATAATAACATCAGTATCCAAATAGAAAAGAACATTCCAATGTGGAAAAACCACAACCAGAATCAGCTCAGAGAGAAGATTAAAGAATCATACCCTGGTCAGAGCCAACACTGAGGCAATGGCAATACCAGGTCAGACTATACTTCACTCATCATCGCATCATTGTATTTCACATCCTTATATACCTAAGAGCAGCCCATTCTTTTTTTCGCATCCAAGAAGACTTAGGTAAACCTATGAAAAAATAAAGGCTTCTATATAGTTAAGTTTCAATCAACCATAGGCTTTTAATAAATATTTTCCACTATGCTTGTTTTACAGACTCTGCTGTACAAAAAAATGCAAACTTGAAGAAGTTTTGGTTTTGAGGAGCTTTTTTGTTTTTGAAATATAGGCATGGAGAAGCATTTTTGGTTCAAAAACTTTTTTTTTTTTAATGAGTCCAAACACCATGCATGATAAAATTCCAGAGACATCTGTGAATGGATTTACAGTCTAATTCTAAAGCAAAAGCTTTAGGAAAGATCTTCGACTAAATTCCATTATAAAGTAGCCTTCTGTTCATTTAATGTAAAAATATGATTTACAATTCTGCTGCCAACAAAGATAAAAAGTATAGTCATAAAGTTTTTATATTGAAATCTTCTATCTTAAGAATGCTAAACCCCGAGAGACTATGTTTTGCCAAAGGTCCACAGCAAATTAACTGACAGTAGAGCTGAAAAAGAACAAAGGTCTGATTATCGGATTTATATTTTTTCACTACCAACTAATCTGAGGTTTAATGTCAATTTTCTTCAGGCCACGGGCAAGATAAAAGAAGCAATGCAGGGGCTCCTGGGTGGCTCAGTCAGTGGATCGTGGGACTCTTGATCTTAGGATTCTGAGTTTGAGCCCCACATTGGGTGTGGAGATTACATAAAATCTTAAAAAAAAAAAAAGGGCAATGCAAAGTCTAGGTAATTCACAACCTGAATAATCAATTTCTGAATAAGAAGGCTGACTGCATTTCATTTATTCTAAATGACACCTTCTGGTGGTATGCGATCACTGCCATGGAAAAGTACTTGGATCACCATGTCACCCCCACCCCCCAGCCTACAGTATCGAAGTTACCATCCTAGAGACAGCGCATGCTTCCTTCAGCCATCTATAAATGTCAACAGACTAAGGGGCGCCTGGGTGGCTCAGTGGGTTAAAGCCTCTACCTTCGGCTCTGGCCCTGATCCCAGCGTACCGGGATCGAGCCCAACACTGGGCTCTCTGCTCAGCAGGGAGCCTGCTTCCCTTCCTCTCTCTGCCTACTTGTGATCTGTCTGTCAAATAAATAAATAAAATCTTAAAAAAAAAAAATGTCAACAGATTGATACTCCTTAGTTTAAAACTGGCAGCTGTTGGGTCTGTGTTGGCCATTCAGCAACTAAACTCCAGTAAAAGAGAGAAATTAACAAAGCGCCTGGTTTACAGGGGTTATGCTTGAGCCTTTAGCTCATCATCCTCTACAGGTGAAGTACGTGTTAAAAATGAGGAAAGCAGAGGCTGAGAGAACTTTGTCTAAAGCATGCAACTTGGGAGCAGAGCTCCAAGTGAGCTCCCACCATACCCAGCCAGCACTCGTCCCTAATTCTCTTCCTCAGCACACTTTGCTCCATCTGGAGTGCCTCCCTCAGCCCCTGCAATCTGGAGAACGCCTCGTTACAGTTTTAAAACCTTACTCAAACGTCACCTTCTCAGTAAAGTGGTCTCCAACCCTCAATCATCCTCTCTTCTGCCTCCACAGCACTTCTCCCACCACAGAACGCATCACATCACTTACTCACCCATGCACATCCCCGTCTATCCCACCAGCCCCCTGACAGAGTTCCCAAAGAACCAGGGCAGCGTCTTACCGGCCTTTACATCCATTACTCTCAGAACGGTGTCTGGTACATAGGACGAGGGTCAATAAATGAACGTTTAATTCAGTCAATGGGCAACCCCCACCAAAACCATAAGCTCCTCGATTATAAAAGCAACAGCCCAATATATAAAGCCAACTTACCTCCAACATTGCAGGTGGGTAAGGAACATACCTCAAGCATCCCTAAGCCCTCCCTCCCCCAGCTTCTACCTCAAGGCTGTCTCCACGATGCCTGGCGCAGAACAACGAGTGCTTACATACAGTGGACCCTCGACCAAACAATGAAAATAAAGCCCAACGTTCCCAACTTCTGCAAAGACTGAGAGGAACCGTCCTTGCGGGGAAATGCGAGAAAGGCCGAAGCCAGGGCTCAAACCAAAGCCCCAGACAGGAGTCCGCAACCCGCTTCCTAAACTCCTCAAGCTCCTACGCCCTATCTCGGGAGGCCTGCAGAGACTAAGAGCAGCCGACCCTCGGCCTTTCGGTGGCCGGCTAAACCCAGTCCCCCATCCCGCTTCCCGCTTCCCGCTTCCCGCCGGCCTCAGCCTCGCCGCCGCGCGGGCGTCCCCTAGCCCAGTAAAGCCCTCACGGAGCAACCAATCCTACGGCCGCCAGTGGGTCACGTGGGACAGCCAATCGGAAGGCGAGGTGAACACCTGGGGGGGCGGAGCGGGCCGAAAGGCGGAAGCGCCTTCTGGCAGGCTCATTCCTGTGGGTTGTTCGAGTGCAGGCTAACGCGTTTCTAGGGTCTGAGTGGTTCCTACCTTCCTCCCAACTCCCTCCTTTGGACTTTGGGACGTGCCTTGCTTCACAACTGCAAAGGGCATCTGAGAGAATTGTGCCTTGGATTTCCGGGAAAAATGACCGATTCGGATAGTGATCCAGCAGGAATTACTGCGCATGTCCGATTCCCGCGGGAGGGCTCTGGTTTGGGGTGGGCAGTGGAGGGATATGTGCCTTTCGGTTCTGGAACACTCTGGCTGGCCGGGCACGTGGACGGTTCCTCAATAAGTTGGAGGTGCCCCAAGAAAAGTGCAGCCAAATATCAAAGAAATGCGCAGGGAAGACTTCCTGGGAGAGGTGGCATTTGATCTGAGTCTTGAAAG